CATCAATGGATTACTTACCACTCCCCGAGTTTATTCATACCAAAAGCATCAAAATCCATCCATAAACGACCCCTCAAATCCCAATTTCTATGTCTCCAATTTCAAGCCCTAGTTCTTCAATTTTAGGCTTAATTTCCATGATTAAATAGGTAGATTTCACATTACAATCGAGTTTTAAGTCCATGAATCTTATCTCCAAGTGATTCCCCTTGAATCCCTCTTCAATCCCTTTCAAAAAGTTCCAAAAACGCTCAAAAATGGTGGAAATAAATCCCAAAATCGCGGACAAAACGACTATTTAAACATTCTGCCCAAGCCTCATTTCCTTCTTCGCGAATGCGGTCAACGCCTCGCATTCGCGAAGCACAAAATAACTTTGAGCAAAAATTCCTCTTCATGATCGCGATCTGCTCATCGCGAACGCGATGGTTCCTCAGACAATTCTTCGTGAACGCACTCCCTCACTTGCGAACGCGATGAAAAACTCGACCTCAAACCCAGCTGACCAATTTCCCCTACGCGAATGCGGAGCTTCCCTCGCGAACGCGATGCACAAAAGTCCAACCCTTCGCGAAAGCGGAGCCTTCCTCGTGAACGCGAAGGCTAAAATCTCAGCCTTCACCAGCTAACCCTTCGTGAACGCGAGGACCTACTGGCGAACGTGAAGGTCTAATTTTTCTGCAACGCACAACAGTTTTTTTGTAATTCCAAACAACATGAAATGGTCCAATTGACCACTCGAAACTCACCCGAGGCCCCCGGGACCTCAACCAAACATACCAACATATCCCATAACATCATTCAAACTTGTTCCAACTTTCGGGATGCTCAAAACAACATCAAAACACCAAATTCGTATCGGATTCAAGCCTAAGAATTCCAAAATCTTCTAAATTACGCTTTTGATCAAAAACCCAACCAAACCACGTCCGAATGACCTGAAATTTTGCACACACCTCCCAAATGACACAACAGAACTACTGCAACTCTCAAAATTCTATTCCGACCCCTATATCAAAATCTCACCTATCAATCGGAAATCGCCAAAAATCTAATTTTGCCAATTCAAGCCTAAATCTACTACGAACCTCCAAAACTCATTCCGATCATGCTCCTAGGTCCCAAATCACCTCCTGAAGCTATCCGAACCATCTGAACTCACATCCGAGCCCTCTAACACATAAGTCAACATCCGATTGACTTTTCCAACTTAATCTTCCTCAAAAGAGACTAAGTGTCACAAACCTTACCAAATCATTTCCGAACCTGAGCCAACCAACCCGATCACATATAGAACTGATAGACAAAGAAATAAGAAGCAGAAATGAGGGAAACAGAGCAGTAAATCATGAGACGACTTGTCGGGTCGTCACATTAATATAGGTTCAAGAGTAACTGATCCCGAATTTGTTTTATATCCTGACTCCAGATTTAGTTTTGCATCCGATTCTATCTCTAGTTCCGGTTCTGATCCAGATTCAGCTTCTGGTTCTTCATCTTCAATTTCAGAATCAGTTGTAATCCCTCTAGCCACTTTATTTTTTGAGATTTCTTCTAACTCAACTGTTTCAGATGTCCGTTTGCTGGTGCTGGTTGGTTCTACTTACAACTTGTCCTTGTACATCACATTTTTATTAAATGTAACATTCCTGTGTCTTAGGATCTTTCTATTCTGATTATCTCAAAATAAATAACAAAAATTATCACCACGATAGCCAATAAAGAAATATTTGTTGGCTTTAGGATCAAGCTTATCTCTATCCTTAGTGTTTATATGCACATAAGCAACACAACTAAAAAATTTCAGATGTGAGACAGTTACCTTCTTTCATGTCCATATATCCTCAGGAATTTCAAAATTCAGCGGGTACAGAGGGTCCCCTGTTTATGAGGTAATTTGTTGTGTCAACAGCCTCGGCCCAAAATTACTTTGGCAATCTAGAATGTATTCTTATACTTGTGGATCGTTCATTTAGGATTCTATTCATCCTCTCAGCAACGCCATTTTATTCCGGTATTTTAGGAACTTTCTTGATCATTTTGATCTCATTCTCAGAGCAGAATGCTTTAAACTCTTGACTATCATACTCTCCTCTATTGTCAGACTTCAGACATTTTAACTTTAGACTAGTCTGATTTTCAACTTCAGTTTTCCATATTTTAAAGGTAACAAACACATCAAATTTATTTTCCAGAAAATAAACCCTTACCTTTCTTGTGGAATTATCAATGAAGGTGATATAATAGCATGAGCCTCCCAGAGAAGTTACAGGAGCTGGTCCCTACACATCTGTATGCACTAGTTCCAGCTTCTCTTTCTTTGGCATCCTTCCCGCCTTTGAGAAACTAACTCTCTTTTGTTTCCCGTAAATGCAATCTTCGCACAAACCTAATTTAACATGCTTTAGGTTTTTCAACTTTTCTTTGGATGCCAACAACTTCATTCTCTTCTCAATCGTATGCCCGAGCCTCCGGTGCCATAATGTTTTATCACGACCATGATCAATTGTTACTACAGTATCTCTTTGTATAGTAGTTGCATACGGTATTCCCTCCTTGAAGCCTCGTGCCACAACCAAATTTTCTTTGGCCTGAGCCTCTGGTGCCATAATATTGTATCACGACCATGATCAACTGTTGTTATAGTATCTCTCTGTATAGCAGTTGCATACAGTGTTCCCTCCTTGAAGCCTCGTGCCACAACCAAATTTTCTTTGGTTATCTTCCACAATCTGTTATCGAATGTTGATGTGTATCCTTCACTATCAATCTGACCCATAGATATCCAATTTTTCTTTAGGCCAAGAACATGTCAGACATTTTGCAATTTTCATAGCATCCATGTGAAGTCTTTATATGAACTTCACCTTTTCCAGCAATGTTTAGAGGTTCTCCGTCTGCTAGATAAACCTTCCTGAATTTTGCAGCAATATAATTATGCAATAATTCTTTGCATGAACTAGATTAAAAGGATGCACCTGAGTCCTTAATCCAAGATTCGACTGCACTGTCTGCACAACAGATTAGTGCATCACCGACTTGTTCAGCAATTACATTTGATGAATTTTCATCCTTCTTCTTCTGTGGTTTTCTACATTGACTACCGTAGTGACCCTTTTTATCGCGATTCCAACAAGTAATGTCCTTGCGATTTTTGAATTACCCTCTTCTCCTTGACTTTGATATGCCATGACCATGACTTTGTCCTCTTTGGTTGCTTCTCCCCCTGCTTCCGGTATTAAAAGTAGATCCTGGGGAATTACTTGATTCTCTTCAGCGAATACCTTTGCTTAGAACCAAGTCTCTACTATCATTCAATCTGAGTTTGGTGTTTCCTGATGAACTGCTAACTGCAGTTACCATTGCAGACCAACTCTCCGTTAGAGATGATAGTAGAATCAATGCCATGGCGTCATCATCAAATGTTATATTAACAAAACTCAATTGAGTTAATATTATATCAAACTCATTGATATGTTTCGTGACAGATCCACCTTCTGTCATCTTTAAGTTGAACAATTGACGCATTTGTAGCCCGTTTGGCCAAGCTGCAAAAATCAGCTTATTTTGATAAGTTCTTTTTTCAAAAGTACTTTTGAAAAAAAACACTTTTGGTGAGAAGCAATTTGTGTTTGGCTAATTAATTTAAAAAGCACTTCTGAGCATCAATTAGTGTTTGGCCAAGCATTAAAAAACTGCTTCTAGGTTTATTTTTCTCAAAAGTGCTTTTCAAAAAAGTATTTTTGGAGAGAAGCTACTTTTTTCTGCTTCTCCAAAACTGCTTCTATTTCTCCTCAAAAGCACTTTTGTTTCCTTTCAAAAGCTTGGCCAAACACCTTAATTTTAGAAAAAAACACTTTTGACAAAAAAAAAAAAAGCTTTTGCCTCAGAAGAAGTTTGGCCAAACAGACTATTAATAGACTTTATTTAAAGTAGATGGCTTCTCGTACATATTTGATAGTGCCTTCATTAGGCATGCAGTGGTCTTCTCGTTAATGATGTTAAACTTCACATTTCGTGTTAGTATCAAACAAATCACACCAAGAGCTTGGCGATCCAATAGATCTCATCCGCTTTGGCCATATTCTCTGGTTTTACCTCGGTTAGAGGTAAGTGTAATTTTTTCTGGTACGAATAATCCTCTATTTGCATTTTTCAGAATCCAAAATCTTTGCCATTGAACTTGTCAATCTTAACCTTTCCTTCTCCCGATGCCATTTTTCACAAAAAAAAAATGTGAATAATGCCTGTGAATTGTAACACGAAAACTATTCCATGTAAGAAAAAATATCCCAATCATATAAGGTAAACAATAATCACTATTGGTGAACAGTACTATCACTATTAATGAATAATACTTCACTATTGTGAATAGTGTTAGTAATGATGATCAATAATATTACACTATTCTTGTGAATATATTCACAAGAAAGAAGGCATTTCGCAACAATAATTTTTGTTGCCATATATTCAATGTTGTTGCCAAAAGTACAAAAGTACTTTTGGCAACGACAAAAAAGTCGTTGCACTCTGTTGCAATAAACACCGATGGGAAAAGTATATGCAACAATAGAAAATATTGTGGCCATAAGTGTACCTAGCGCAACAATATATACCATTGCCATAAGTTATTTGTTGTTGGTAGAAGGCCAATAAAGTCGTGGATGATGAAGATATGTAGCAACAAAAATTATTATTGTGACAAAATTAGATTTTTACCAACAATATCAGTCGTTGCTAAAAAACAATTGGCGGTAAAGTAAATAGTCTGTTATCAAGACTTTAAGCAACAACTATTATTGTGGCAATAATTACCTTTTTGCCAACAAATTCTCTAGTACTACTTTAACAACAATTTATAAGTTGTTACTAAATACACAATTTATATATTCTTTCAGATTTTCACAAATGCATGTAGAAATAATAAATTATATTATATATATATAAAGAGTCTATACATATATTTGATGGAGTAGATATACTCACTTTCAAAAACTAAATAGTCCTAAAAATTATGTTTTTACTAACAAAACGAACAAAAGCATCATATATCCACGGTCTTTAAGTTATATTACAATAGTAACCCGAAAAATAAATCTTCTTTCAACAGCTTGTGCATTACATGAACGGGATTGCCAGGAATGTTTGTTTACACATACTCATCCTAAAAAGAAGATAAATATAATTAGATTTTGATAAAAAGAAGCAATAGAATACAAAAGTGTAAAATAAAACCACTGAAAACTTGTTTAACTGCATAAGAGGAATTGAGGAAAAGTGGGACAAGAAAAAGATCAAAGAGGAAAACGTGTATACATTTTTCAGTCCAAAATCTCATGCTCCTAAATTATATTTTTAGAGTCCTTGATTATTTAACTACATTGAAGATTCAAATACCATGCCAAATAAATAACTCACACACAAACACAAAGTAAAGACAGAGATGATGCTGTTGATTTTTTGACAACGGAGGAAAATCAATGGTGAACAGAGAGGGGCAACCACGGTATTAAAGAAAATCCCAATACTCTATATTTTACCTCGTTTCTTTCTCTTTCTTACTGGGCTAACATTTTCTATTTGGGGAAATTCCTTGGGCTTTTTCTTTTTTGGACTTGCTTAAACAGGATTTGTTCTATAGGCTCTTATATCCTTGTGTTCTAAGGAGATAGGAAACCAAGTCTAAGTGGATGAAATGTGGTCATGAGCCATACTGTAGTACGTAAAAGAAAACTCAAATCCAACTAAATTGTCTTAGTTGATTATATATGTTAGACAATACTCATATATAGTTGAAAAACAGTACACACAAAATAGAAACTTACTTTCACATGAAATAGAATAAGTTTACTTACCATGGTACCATCCATAAGACTTGTAGGACTTGTCTCATCCGAACCATTTAAATTAGCAATCATGTCAAAAATTGCAGCAGGAAGTCCAGCCTATTAAACTAAACTTAAACATGATAGAACCTAGAAGAAACTAATTTATAATATCAAAAACACAAGAACAAGTTTTCTTTAGCAGAACACAATAGTTTTCAGAGCTTCAAATAAAGACACAACATCTAGATTACTGCTCCTTTAGTTTCTATTATAACTGAAAATAGAAAATTCACTTTCATGTGCTTTAGGACCATTATGTGCTTAGTGTTATGTTCTATTGAATTTCAAATGTAAAATTATGGCATCTCTGTAGGGGGACTAAAACTTATATATTAGTTGAAATCAGAGGAATATTTAAGCTGAAAAGGACTAGAATGAATATTTAAGCTAAAATGGACTAGAGTACAATAAAAATAAGAACATGGAACAGGTACCAACTAAGATTTCTGCATTCTCACTCAAGGTCTATCCTAGCTAGGGAAATTAGTTAAAAAGAATTTAAAGTTAAAGATTTGGAGTAAAAATTTGCCATCTAATGTATGAAAACTACCCAATTACAATAATGAGGATATATATCATTTACTTTAGCAAAGCCTCGAGAAAAAAGAAATGAGACATCCACTGAATTCAAGAATCAACTCTATGTTCCAAGTTGAAATACATGCCTAAAGTGTATATCTATTTATGAATAGACCAAAGCAGAGCCAAAGCTTAAGCAAATGAGCAGCTAGATCAGGTAGAGCACCAACATTTTGATTGAACTTCATTAATCTCTCACTTGGTGAAAAATTTTACTAAAATTCAAGCAATTTTAACCTAAATATTCTCTTACTCTACATAGAGGCCTGAAACAGAAACTCTAAAGGATTTTCCTTTTTAACAATTTAAAAAAAAAAATAATAATAATTCATGAAGAAAAGCAAACTACCAGGCTAGAAGGTTTAGAGATGAATATTTCACTTCACTGGAAGTTAAAATGATAGGATAGTAACATAATCATTCTGAAAAAATTGAACAGAACAGTTGACTAATTTTTCCTTATAAAAGAGTAAAATTCAAACCTAAGGATAAAGTGATGCACTTGTTAGCTTCAATTCCATGAAAAGTGATGCTATCTCTTTTATTCTCAAGTAGTTTAATATAATTGTTCATAGGATCAAAAGCAAGTAATTGAAATTTTAACGTCTTAAACAAACTAAATACCTCGGAACTTTATATATGGGATACTATTGCCATCATGCCCTGTTTTAACATTTTTTGATCACTCAATAGACGAGCTTCCATGACTTCTCGTTTTTTCCGCTCCTCATCAAGTTGATTTTCCACTTCTATTAATTTGCACTCTACGCTCTCTTGTTTATGGCGTTCTTCTTTCACCTCCTTCTGTTGTGCTTGCAGCTGCTCTTGAGTTACATGCATAGATCTCTTACTAGCTGGCTTGACTCCCGATCCTTGATCGCGGCATTATCCTGACTTTTCACCAATAAGTTTCACAAAAGCAGCATTAACAATAGGGTCCACATCAGTACCCTCTTCCACTTCTTGAATTTGTTCAGAAACAATTTCTGTCAGCTTATCCTACAAACAATTATACAAGCATAAAGTTTCAATATTTGTTTCAATCCTGCACTCAAAAATTACTTAAGTGAGCTTACTTAGAATAGAACTTTCATTGTCTGCCAATGAGTCGGGGACCTTTCAGGTCAGCTGCTCTAAAGTTGGTTTACCACTGATAAATTATCAGTATACTTTATTTGTATACTTACATCCTTGTTCTGGTGAATAATTCAATTTCAAAAGTAAATCTATGTGCTGCTTACACTGAATCCATGTATATAGTCCAGATCTTATCCTTTTTTTGTATCATAGTAAGTTTGAAATATATTTTTTTATCAAGGATAGTAAGTTTGGAACTTGTCTACGAAACCTTTGTCAAGAAGTTGGAAGACTGTCATGCTAGGGAAAAAAGAAGCTAGTTAAATAAAACAAAGATCACAGTACTGGCCAAAGATCTCTATGCTCTTTGATAATTGTTGTAACTAATGACATATAGTTCACACCACAAGCATTAATTTAATCTTCTTCTATTTCTTATATTAGTTGCTTCCTTTAAAAAAGAATAGGTGTAAAATCCCCATCTCAGCTATCTTGCAATCATTAGTGAGGAACACAAGAAATACAGGAAAGTGCAATCAACTCCTTGTTTAAACCAAAGGAAGGATGCATAGGATTAGAAAAGATAGTAGTTCTTTACTACACAAGATATGGAATGTGCTTCAGCAGGTTCTGTGTTACAACCACCATCATTCCCTATAAACATATCATTACCCAAAGAAGGAAATATGATGGTACTGTTACTGCGCCTGTTAGCTATTGTTTGATGTACACTGTTCGTGCTTCTTCTTTTGATCGCCTGTATGCATACCACTGACTAACCACAACAAACAAAACAAATGCAATACCTAATAGCCACGACAGAGTTCAGTAGTACTTATCAACTCGACTCTTATTCAGGGTATCCTGAAACCAACTTAGTTTATTTCCTTTCTAACTAACCTTACTCACTATGTACACTAACAAAATGTTGCTCATACATCCTAGTCTGTGCATCAGATTGCACCCACTGAGCATGCACGATGCAGATATGGGATCAAAGTAACCACTGTAGTAACAATTAAAGCTCTTTGCAAACATCCCTTCTATTAAACCAC